AACTTCGACCACTGCAACGAGACGGCGAACGACGACCTCACGGGCCACTGCCACGGCTCGACGGACGACGCGACCTACGGCTGGTGGATCCGCGACCACTGGTTCCGCGGCTACGCGGGGTCCCTCTTCTGCTGCTGCGACTGGGAGCGCACGAAGGGCGTCGTCTCGCGCTGCGACTACCGCATGCCCGTGACGGACGTCGGCGACGGCGGCGCCTACGACCTCGAGACGTGCCGCGACGCGAACGAGGACCACGGCTACGGCTACGAGGGCCGCTGCAAGTCCGAGTACGAGCCCTTCGACGACCCCCTCGACTCCACGGACCAGTGCTGGGCCCTCACGTCCTTCGCCGACGTCTGACCTTCCCGGGCGGGCACCGCGACCTTGTGCCGCCGCCCACGAGCCCCCAAGCGCCACGACCCGCGACGCAACTTCGCGTCGCCGCCCACGACCCCCCCAAGCACCACGACCCGCGACGCGCCTCGCGTCGCTGCCCACGACCTGTGTAAATTCCTCTGTGTTGAAGTGCATCTTGAAGATCATCTTTGCCACAGCTCGGAAAGGCAGCCCCGATGGCGGCTCCCGCCTTGCGAGGAGGCGCTTATACTCCCGCCGCGCCTGCGCTCAAACTCGAGGGCTCAAAGGTGATGGTTTCATTTGATGTGCCCGCGTTCGCCAGCGTCGCGGTGGTCTACTTGATCTCCTCGCGCAACGTCAAGTTTTTCTACGATGCGGAAAAAAAGTGGATTCTCGCACCTGGTAAGACCGGCAAGGTCATCTCGCTTGCGACAAAGGGCGCTGGTAGGACCTCGGTGAAGAGCAAGAGCGTCGAGGTCCTCCATCTCCTTGGCGGCGTGGCATACACGGCCACGGTGTCCTTCCGCGGCGCGGACGACTTCGACTTCGGACCGACGTCGCCTGCGAGCGCGCCGCTGACGCTTGTTCCACCTGTCGCGCCCCAGGCGCCGCGCTTGGAACCAGTGTCGCAGACAGAGTTGAAAGTGCATTTTGTGGCGCCACCGGACTGCGTCAACGTCGACATTTTCTTGCACGACATTACGTCCGGGGCGCGCGAGTGGCGCGTCTTGGCTGACGGCAGACTCGCACGCTCTGGAAACCCCTACGGTAGTTCTGGCACCGGCGTCGTCGTTAAAGGCCTGGCGAAAAACTCGACGTACAAGGTCAGTCTGGAGGCCCACAACGGCAGTTGCTGGGGTCCGCGAGGCCCGTGGAGCAAGCCGCTGACGCTCGCAGACCACGTTCCCGAGCCGCCGTGCGCGCCGCTTCTCGACCAGATCACGCAGGATAGCGTCCGGGTGCGCTGCGCGCTGATGGAGGACTGTACGCATGCTTCCATATTCTTCATACAAGGGTCTGTGCGCAAGGTCGTCGACAATAACACGCACACGCTCTGCAATAATGGAACAGGGAAGGCCACGACAGCTCCTAGGGCCAAGGCCGGCGGGGTCGTCTCAGGACTTCAGCCGGACACCGAGTACGAAGTCTACTACAAGGTGTGTAACGCCTTCGGATGGAGCCACTCTAGCCCTTCGTCCCCGTTCCGCACGCGCTCCGACGTCGAGATCACGGGCGCGCGGACCCAGGAGGCGCGCGACGCCGAGCTCCGCAAGCACGCGATCGACGTCGACGCCCTCGATCCCGCGCCGGCGGCCAAGCGCCCCAAGAAGGAGAAGTAAAGCACCCCCTTTACCGTCACCGCGTCGTGATGTCCTCCATGGTGTTGTGGCGGCGCTGGAGGAGCTTCCGGAGCTCGCGCTGGGAGCCGCCGGTCTGGGGAAGAGCGGA